TTTCGACTTTTGTCGCGCCTTCGGGGGTTTCATTGGCATCAGAATTGTTAGAAAATACAGAATCAACTTTCACTTGGCGAAAAAATTCAATTTTGGCGAAAATCGACTTTCACCCCTGACCCACGTGAAAATGAAAAAATTTTTTTCCTCTTTTCTGTCACCTCCGAGGGTATCATTGGCATCAGGGGGTCAATAAATACAGAATCAACGTTCACTATTTTTTATTTAAACACCGCCTGCAAGCGGGGAGATGAGAGTGGCTAAAATATATTCTGCAACCCTGTCTCCTCGTTGGCTACAAATTTCAACCCTCCGCATACATGCCTTCCCCTTCACCCGCTCGTAAAATCACGCGTTCTCGGTAGCATCGAGGAGGACTTCTCAGGACCGAAAAGAACTGAGGATTCGAAAGGTCTCTGGAAAAGTACGTCGCAGAACTGATTAGGACTTACCAGGTCCATCTAGGTCTGGAGAGTTCTTGAAAGACCTGTGTACGTCCAATCAGAACCAAATCCTCGACTCGGGGAACTTATTTGTTATCTCAAAGCTTTTCAGGCATTTCATTGTAGAATTCAAAACTATTGGTTTGAAATTTCCGTTATTCTCGTTGAAAATTTTTATCAAGTTGCAGTTCCAGTAAAATTCCAAAGAATTTCGTCATTGAAAATCCATAATATGGTGGAAAAATTGTAACTTAATGGAAACTGTAAATTTCAATGGTCACGGTTTAAGTGAATTCAGTTTTTAGTTGAGTTTTCCAGAAATATTTTCGAATCTAAGGGAGATAGCGAAATATTCATAATGACCTTTTTTATAGACCGAATTGAGTGCGACTAAAAAGGTTATGAGAAAAATTTTGCTCTCTCCCTTAGATTTCGAGATATTCATTGAAAACTCGCCACAATCGCCACAATCGACCTAAACCGTTTGACCACTTCGCTACTGATTTTTTGGGATTGTTCCTTCAATTTTCTAAAACGTTCACTTTGTATTTTTACGTTTCGGACCATTTCCCATGATTTCTAATCAAAATTTGAAAATCTAAAAATAGAACGATTTCTATTAGCCGTCAACGATTCATTGAGTCAATCAGTTGTAATGAAAATAAATTCATTCGTCGATAGATTCTACTTGATCAATTGCAATGAGTGAAAACCCGACTGCTGCTTAAAGGAAATGTCACGGCGTTATTTCCATCCATTCCTTCCATCGTAGAGTCAATTTCCCCCGCTTATTACCCCGATGAATCACCATCGACTTACGATTATTGAGGACAGCGGCAAGTTCTTCTCTACTGGTGACTTTGTGCGCCCACGTGATTTTCGTCAGATTCCCATGGATTCTATCAGCGAAAAAATCCTTCGGATCAGGGAAGAGTGCGGCCATACTTGCACCTATGAATATTAACAATCCCACAAGAACAGTTATTTCATTGAATTTATGCACTAAATGTCATAGAAAAGAAAATTATTATTCTCTTGATGCGAAGGAGTGGAGATAATACTTTATTGCAGAGATCCCGAAAATTGCATGTAGAAATTTCATGCATTCTCCACGTTTCGTGATCCTTAGAGCCTCTTCTGTGTAGATATATCCAGAGAAATAGTTTATTTGAATTCGATGAATAGGTTTAGGTGAATAATTCGCGATAGAGCTTTCATTTAAGGTCACGGATGAAAAAATTTAATAGAAAAACCTAGCGAATTCGTTAGAAAATTGTATCGGATTTTTATTGAACTTTCCATTAGTTTATGGCCGATTCTATCGAAATGTTCAATAGAAAATATAGCAATATATCAATAGAAAGAATCAATAGAATTTGATTCTTCTATATGACTTATTCTATTGATATTTTCTATAGAATTTCCAAGTCAAATTTTGAAGACGTCAATAATTAATAATACTCACCAATTTTAAATTATTAAATTAACCACCAATTAAACATTCAAATTCCGATCAAATTGGCTAATCAAAATTCCTTTTAAGAAATTTAGAAATATTTCCCGAATAGTCAGTTTACAATCACTTATTTTCAATTATTTAATTCATTGCTGACTGAAAATTTAATTTTCAATCATTTTATCCATTTCAAATTCCAACCCAAATATTACTAAAACTAATGATTGATTTACTTAAGTTCTGATTTGAATTTACTTCACAGCATCCAATACTGCGCTCTGGCTAGAATCGGATGGCCAGAAATTATCAGATAAATATTACACTGTTAAAAATTTTCATTTTCCTTTTCCGCGCCAAATTCCGGAAATTTTTGTCGTGTTCAAGTTTCACTGAAATCTGAGGAAATCGTATCATTGAAAAATGAAATATTCCATTGATTTTCTGTTCAAATGATCTGGAAATCAATGGAATACTTGATTTTTCAGTTCAATTATTCTGTGAAAATTCAGGAAAATCTGGAAAATTCAGGGAAAAATTGAAAATTCATGTCATTTTTCTTCGGAATGTTCATGTTCCACTGAAAATTTAATCAGGTTCTGAAATTTCCATCTCACTCCCATTAAAAACTTACGAATTTCCATGGATTCTACTTAAAACTTGAAATTTCATGACCATTTTCCCCTAAATCGGATCCAATGCCACTCTCATGAGATTTACTATAATATCTTCCATGAAATTTCGAAAAATTTCTAACAGTGTACGTGGAAAATTGAAATGAAAAATTAGTGTGCCATTTGCGCGAATTCTTTTTTCCATATGATTTAAGCATTTTCATTGTAATTAATATAAATTGATAATTTTCGAACGAACATACTCTTGCAATGAACGACTGAAACAAGCGAAGCAACATTGAATTTTATTCAATGCCGTTGACGTATTGCTATCGAATTCATGACTCATTAAAAAGTGAACACGATCGTCTCAGACGTTGTCAAGTTATTCTTCACTTATTCCGTTAAGAATGCCAATTTTCAGGAAAGTCATTTTCTAAAATAGTTCGCAACTTACAGCAGAGGCCGGCGAAGAGGAAAACAAGTAAGACCGAAACCAATCCCATGATCGTAAAATGAATTACAGAAGTTGTCAATATTTCACGTCGTTGAATCGTTCAACAGGAATAGCACGAAATGACTGCCTTTTGACATTGTTATATCAACAACCGACAAAAGAAAATTGGCTGTTCATATCGTAATGGGGGCCGAAGGACACTAAATACACCCATTGGCAACACTTACCGTTTTTGTATTGAATGTTTATTTATTGTCCACAGGATAAAGCACGTTTTTTCGTCGCAAATACAACTTTTTTCCACAAAAACAAACAATACGGAAATAATAATAATTACTATTAAAATTAAAGTTAGTTCCTATATAAATGCATTTGCACTATTCGGAGAGCATACAAAATTAAAAATTACAATGTGAACATAGTAATCGAGGACCATACTGAAACGACTTTAAAATTTGATTTGTCTTGAACGAATTTTTACTCGTGCCAAATTAAATTTTACATTATTAAAAAAGAAAATCTCAAGATTACACTGAGAAAAAAATTTATTTGTGAGAAGTAAATTTTTCTCTCAGTGGAATTACATTAGAAGGATATGGTCGAGATTATTTAATGCCTCAAAGATTTCAAAACGTCAAATGCATGTGATTTATCAACACCTCCCGTTTACTCTTCGTTTCCAACAAAAAAAGATCGTCAAACCACCTGAAGCACTTTCTTATTAAAAAAAATCATGGAAGTGCTCATGCGAGAAGAATATTATTGAGAATAATTGGAATTCTGAAATTCAAATAGGAATGATGGCGCTAATCTCCGCAACAGAATTATATCGATAGTTGCAATTTCGAAATTTCCTTCAATATCGCCCGTCTCTAGCAACAAATTTCAACCCGTGGAACAATCAAGCTCGGGAAGCGAATCGGTGTGAGCGTGGTAGGGGTGCAGCCAATGAGCGCGCGCGACACGAATGTTGCGGTACCGGTAAACTGTACTGTACCCACGGGCCCGCTCGACAGACGCGTCTCAATCTACACTTTGTTACGCTGACGGGTTCTTTCTGTTTATAAAATTTGATTTATCTCCGATTTGTTGTTGTCCAGTCGATCACTCCATGTGTGACTTAATTCTCAATTGAAAATTCTTTAAACAATCTCCTGTCAAGCGGAAAAATTTTAATTGAGGTTATGTGAATCTTATCGGTGTGTGCGGTACGAGCCTGAGCGCGCCATCCCCACTCGCGCCGATCCACGCGTGGTTGCAGAGTGGGGACACACGACAATCGTGCAGTGGGTTAAACGAAATTGTAAAATCCGAAGGTGAAAACTGATGAAAACGAAGAGTGAATAATCAACAGAGTTACAGACGCGAGTGAAGATGTTGCTGAAGAACCGAGTGATAGATCCTTCCAGACGCTTTATGGTACATTCGCGTAAGTCTAGTGGACCAACTGTTTTAATCAAATCGAGAAACTTTTAATGAATTGAATTTTAATCAATGAAGATTGTGGTACTTACTTTGGGATGACTTCACTCCTTTTGTGGAAATCGATGTATAGAGTATCCTCTAGGCAGATTTATCCGTCTCTCATAAATTCAGAAAATTGTGAACACAACTCCCCGTTAAATCGACTCGATACCCTTTCACCAATGAATTCTAATTCTAATGCTAACTGAAAACAGTGTTGAATCAATTCGGGACGAACCTTTTATTCCAAAAAAATCTTAAGATTAATTACATTAGAAGAATATGATCGAGATTATTTGGATCTGAAAGATTTCAAAACGACAAATGCACGTGATTTATTGATACCTCCCGTGTTCTCTTCGTTTGCAACAAAAAAAGATCTTCAAACCATCTGAAACAAACCTCATTACAAAAAAAAATCCTGGAAATGCTCATGCAAGAAGAATATTGTTGAGATTATTTGGAATTCTGAAGATAAATAGGAATGATGACGCCAATCTCCACAATCAAATTTTAAACGAAATTGGAAAATCCAAAAGAACCGAGTGATAGATCCTTCCAGACGCTTTCTGGCACATCTGCGTAAATCTTGTCAATTTCACCTGTTTCAATCAAATGGACAAGGTATTAATCAGTGAAGTTTTAATCAATGAAGTTTGTGGTACTTTGGGATGACTTCACTCCTTTCGTGCAAATTTACCCGTCTTTCTTAGATCCAGAACAATATGAACATTCAACTACACGTTAAATCGACGTGTTACCCTTCATCAATGAATTGTAATCCTAATTCTAATGCTACATGATAAAAATGTTAAATCAATTCGAGACGAACCTTTTATTACAAAAAAAATCTTAAGATTAATTACATTAGAAGAATATGATCGAGATTATTTAGATGCCTGAAAGATTTCAAAACGACAAATGCACGTGATTTATTGATACCTCCCGTCTTCTCTTCATTTCCAACAAAACAAGATCTTCAAACCATCTGAAACAAACCTCATTACAAAAAAAATTTTGGACATGCTCGTGCAAAAAGAATATTGTTGAGATTATTTGGAATTCTGAAGATTCTGAAGATAAATAGGAATGATGACGCCAATCTCCACAATCAAATTTTACACGAAATTGGAAAAGCCAAAGGTGGAAATGAAGACCCCAGCAGCCAACAGAGTTACAGACGCGAGTGAAGATGTTGCTGAAGAACCGAGTGATAGATCCTTCCAGACGCTTTCTGGCACATCCACGTAAGTCTTTTCAACTTCAACTGTTTTAATCAAAGTCGACACATTTTGACTATCCACGAAATCCGCATTAGCGGACCAAACTGTGAGGGTGGATTTATAATTGTTGGTCTTCTTGACGAGGTCTTGCATGACGACAATATCATTCGCTGCAAGGGCTGCTCTCACGGGGAAAGTTACCGTCTGAGAGATGTTGTTTCTCGATAATGTATCTATCATGTTCATGATGTGTTCCTTAGTGTAGCTGCCTTTGAAGTTGGCTGGTAGGGCTCCAGATCTGTTGGTTTTATTTTTTGGGGCATTATTGGGAATGCAACTTATCACGCATGAAAAAATTCAATAGAGAAACTTAGCGAATTCCCTAAGCTTTAAAAAAAATTCAAGTGGAATTCGAATTTAGAGAGAAAACATTGTCGCGCCCGGTACTCTTCCAACTGAAATTTTATGGGGATTCTAGTAAAATTCTAAAGAATAAATAGAATTTTAACGAGAATTATCTAGAATTTTTGTAGAATACCCATAGAATTTCTAGAGAATTCTCGTTGAAATTCTATTTGTTTTTTGCGCAGATTCTATTAGACATTTCATAGGAAAAAGCCAATAGATTTCGATTTTTCTGCTTGAAGTTTTCTCTTCAGATTTTTTAAATTAAAAATATTAGACACGGATTTTCTAAGTTTATCGGCTGTATTTTGTTTTGTTTTGCATTGCTGGATGCGAGTGAAAAAAACTTGGAAAATTCATGCGTAATGGGATTAGAATTACACTCTTCGTTCATTTTTGCTTAAATTCGGAATTTTCCATGACAAAATTTCTTGCAACGTGAGGACTATAATGTAATTTCCAAGAGTGTTCCAGAAATTTCATCCAATATTCCTCAACAGTGAATTCCTCCAAAATCAAATTGGAGTTGAAAATTACAAATTTCGGCGAAACAAAAACTACCAAGGGATATTCTCAAATGAATTATTATGCAATTGAATTTTTACTAACTGTGTTTTCCATCCAACGGAGAGTATGCTCTCCGGGAAGTGTTCCTTGGCCCCCCGCAGAAATTCATCCGGATTTACCGGTTTATCGTCAGAAAATGGCCCCGGTAGAATATCAGCATTAAGCATCACCGGCACCACCATCTGAATTCAAGACAATTCAAAAAGTAGAGCGAGCTCGACAATAACTTTTGGGCCATTCGAATATTACGTCACATGTTTTTTGGACTTTTTAGGTCTCTCCCCCCTCAGTTCTTGACGGATCACTCAATTGAGAGATCGAGTTGCTCACTTGGTCGAGTATTGATCGATCACCGGTCGATAGGTGATGATTGCGAGACCATCGATCGACTTACGATCGACTAACCTTTGACCAGCGACTGGCGATCGACCAATAATTGACGATCGACCACCGATCGATTAACCGTAGACCCGCCATCCCTGCAATTGGCAACGATTGATCATCGATCGACTGGCAATCGACCAATAATTGACGATCGACCGCCGATTGATTAACCGTTGAGGCAGTCAAGTGCTAGTCGAGCACGGGTCGCTTGATCGATTATCGATGAACCAACGATCATCTAACAATCGACTAGCAATTGACCGTCGATCCACTATCCGTCAATTAACCATCGACCACCGATCGATTAACCGTTTACCCGCAATCCCCGCAATTGACTAATGATCGCCCGGCAATCGACTAATAATTGAGGATCGACTACCCGTTGACTAGCAATCGACTAAAGATCGAGCATCGATACGACTACCCGAGTCGAATAATTGGACCTGACAAATTCTACTTAGGTCTCTCCGTTCAGAACTGGAGAGGTCTTGGGAAGCCTCTTCCCAAGTGCTTCCGAGACCTTTCTACCTCTGGTTATGTCCCACTTCAGCACTTGTTAGGTGTAAGCAGGACTTGCATTCAGACTTTCCAAATCCTTGCCGGTCCCCGTAATTCTATGGGCCTATATTAAATCTGCGTTCATATCCCCATTTACTTCTGCGTTATTGAAATAAAAAATGCAATTATTGTTTTTTTTTTAATCTCGAAAATCGACATTTCACGGGAGGGTGGAGGGGAGATGCATGTATGCGGAGGCTTGACATTTTTATCCAACAAGCGGAGAAGGTTGCAGAATCTATTCTAGCCACTCTTGCCCCTCCGCTTGCATGCATTGTCCAAATAAAAAAAGAAAGTGTTAACAAATCTGACCCTTGTTCCAAGTAACAACCGAAAATCTGACCCTGTGGCCGCCGGTGAAAATTTTTTCTTTCAGTTTTCACTTTTTCCACATACTTTTGAGAGTTCTGAATAGTCCGTCGCTTAAATAGTTGGAATCAACGTTCACCCGGCTAAAAAATTCGATTTTGCCGAAAGTCGACTTTCTCCCGAGAAAAACGAAAAATCTGACCCTTTGAAAATTTGAAAAAAAAAACTTTTTCAGTTTACACTTTTTCCACATACTTTTGAGAGTTCTGACTAGCCCGGCGCTTAAACAGTTGGAATAAGCGTTCACCCGGCTAAAAAATTCGATTTTGTCGAAAATCCACTTGCCCCGGAAAACCTGAAAATCTGACCATTTGGCTGGGGCAAAAAAAACGGTTTCTCAGTTTTCACTTTTTCCACATACTTTTGAGAGTTCTGAATAGCC